TGACAAACATGTATAGTGAATCAATCTTTGAGAAATTTAAAACAGAATTAGAAAAATTTAAACAAAAAGAAGATGAAGCATAAATATTCTTGAATTTATTTTAATATAATTATTTTTTCTTTAATTTTTATATAAATAAACTATTTGTCTTTTTAATAAAATATCAAAAAAAATGGCTAGTAAATGTATTTATAATTATAATGGACAATATGTTAATTGTTGTGCTAAAAAAGAGATCGTATACAAAAAAAAAAAAGTTATTTCTGATGATGAAATTTTTGAAAGTATTTTACTTTCTATTCTTCAACCACCGAAAGAAACTGTAACTAAACCAAAACTAGAATCAAAACCTAAACCAGAATCTAAACCAAAGTCTAAACCAGAATCGAAACCTGAACCTATACCAGAACCTGAACCTATTCCAAAACCTATTCCTGAACCTAAACCTATACCAGAACCTGAACCTAATATTGATTATAGTATTCTATCAGCAAATATAGCTTTAGCAAATATAGAAGACTTGTTACCGAGAAATGAGATTTATAATGAAATCGATAATTCAAAATTGCCAAAAGATATAGTTGAAAAATTACATAATGAGAGAAAAAATAATTTATTCGAAAAACTAGAAACAAAAATAAAAGAATCATCAAATATGCAAGATCTTATATTAAACAAATTATTTGATAATTTGATTGTAAGATCAGATTTAAACAACTCTTTAAAGAATAATTTACATAGATTGAGAGAAAAAAGATTTCAAGAATTACAAAATTCATTATTCAATTACTACAAAAATATCATTCAACAAACAGATCAAAATGATCGTTTAACAGATCTCAAAATCGGAATCAGTAAAGATGATAATTTATTTGCTGAACAGAAGAATAAACTTTTCGATCTAATAAACAACAAAATAAATACAAATAATCAAATTGAAGAGTTTGAAAAAATTAAAAACAAAATACTAAAAGAAAATAATGCTGCAAATCTAGAAGTTATCTTAAGAGAAGAAATTTACGATAATTCTAAATATATTAATAATAATCAAAAATTAGAATTAAATAATATAAGAGTTGAAAAAATAAATTCGTTAAAAGGAGGAAAAGATTTTGAAATACTTCGTGATCAAATTAATTCTGAATCACTCATAGGTGATTTGTTAGATGGGAAACATTATAATAACATAATAAATCTTAATAGTTATTTAACTAATAATCAAAAGCAACAACTTAATAATATTAGAAAAGAACGATTAATATATTTATCAAACAAATATTATGATGATTTAAGAAATAATATTAATAACTCTGAAGATGTTAAAAAATTAGAAGATAATGGGTATTATGATAATAGAATAGGAGAAGTTCTTGAAAATTATTTACAAGGAAAAACAAAAAAAGACTTACATATTGTCAGACGATCAAGATTAGACCATATATTATCAGAATCTGAAAATGAAACATTTGATACTTTATTAGATTTAATCAAAGATACAGATGATATTGATGAATTAAAAGATGGCTTATTAATTGATAATGAAATTAAAGAGTTAAATCAAACATTACTAACTGAAGGAAGAAATCTTCTTACATTAGATAACATTAGAAAAAATTATTATAATAATGAATTATATAATATAATTAAATCTACAATTAAGATCGAAACTGATTTAACAAAATTACAAAATTGGGAAAAAGCAATAATAGAGTCTTTAGATAAAAATTTTCTCTCAACAGAAAAAACTAAGGAAAAATTAAATCAGATCAGAATTGATAGAATCAATTTGTTACAAAATCCAGTTCAACCTAAAACTAAAATACCAAAAAGACCAAGAACACCAGATGATCCTATATTAAGACAACCTAATAACGCAGATCAAATAAGAAATATCAATGGTTCTCCTGAATCACAAATATTAAATATTATCAATCAATATAGAAAAACATTAGACAACGATAGTTTAAAGAAATTTCCAAGATTAAAAATCAAACCAGTATCTGATATAATCAAAAAGAGTTATGATAATAGTAAAAACAAAAAAGCTTTATTGGATGCATTATATTACATGTGGGTTCTTGGAAAAGATGAAAAATTTCTTTTAGAAAAAAAATATACAAAAAGAAGAATTGAAGAAACTGATACACTAACAAAAGAATTAATAAACTATCTATACGAAGAACAACCAAGAAAGAAAGCAAATATTTCAACAAACAGACTTAAAAAAGATAAAATGTATAAACCATTAAAAGGATATCCTTTTGT